GATGAGAAGAGAGAGAGATGCAGAAAGAGACAGGAGAAAGCAGCAGACAGGAAGAGACAGATGTAGTCAGTCACACAGACAAAGGCACAGGGAAAGACAGAAGTCGAGGAGCCCGAGACCAGGACCAAGAGGGATAGGGCCAGAGCCCCCAGACACCGGAGCAGCAGAGGCAGAGGGAGCTGGAGACCCTGAGGCTGTGGGAGGGGGTGGGGGCAGGGAGCTCTGAGGGTTGTGACCTGTCGCCCCGGCTCCCCCACCCCCAGGACTCTGCTGGCTTTGGGCTGCCATGTGGGCATGGCGGACGAGAAGGCAGAGGACAACCTGAAGAAGACAAAACTCCCCAAGACGTGAGTGTGGGCGGCCAGGTCCTGTCTGGGGATGGGCTGGGGGCTGGGGATGCCGTGCTAAGGGCTAGGGAGGTCCAGGGGTCTTGTGGGGAGGCTGAGATTAGAGAGTAAAGAGCCTTGAGTTAGGGCGAAGGTCATAGGGTCAGGGCCAGGATTGAGGAGTTAGGAGTTCCAGAGAAGGAGAGAGGGTGTGAGTCCAGGATCCAGGGTCAGGGTCTGCCTGGAGTCAGGGGAAATGAGAGCAGAGGTCATATGTCTACGTTAAGGGGCGGGGTCAATGGTAAGAGGTGAGAATCTGGGTGTTGCTGGAGTTGTACGTAAGGGGTCTTGAAATTATAGGTGAGTGATTACAGATCCTAAGTTCAGAGGTCAAAGACTCCAAAACCAGGAGTTTGGGGGCGATGAGGCATGGGATCAGAGTAAGAAACCTCCAAGTGGGCGGATGAGGTGGCTCACACCTGTAATCCCAGCACTTTGGGAGGTTGAGGCAGGAAGACCACTTGAGCCCAGTTTGAGACCAGCCTGGGCAACTTGGTGAGAGTCCTCTTCAAAAAATTTAAAAATTAGCAGGGTGTGGTGGTGGCATGTGCCTGGAGTTCTAGCAGCTTGGGAGGGTGAGATGGGAGGACTGCTTGAAGCCAAGAGTCTCAGGCTGCAGTGAGCCGTGATTGCACCATTGCGCTCCGGCCTGGGTGACAGAACATAGAACGAGACCCTGTCTCAAAAAACAAAAAGAGCCAGGCACAGTGGCTCAAGCCTGTAATCCCAACACTCTGGGGGCCAAGGCGGGTGGATCACTTGAGGTCAGGGGTTCGAGACCAGCCTGATCAACATGGAAAAAGCCCATCTCTACTAAAAACACAAAATTAGCCAGGCATGGCAGCACATGCCTGTAATCCCAGCTACTCAGGAGGCTGAGACAGGAGAATTGCTGGAACCCAGGAGGCCGAGGTTGTAGGGAGGCGAGATTGAGCCATTGCACTCCAGCCTGGGCAACAAGAATGAAACTCCGTCTAAAAAAAATAAATAAACAAAAAGAGGAAAACCTCAAAGTTGGTGTCGAGAGGTCCAAGAGAGTTCCGTTTAGAGATAGGGGTCCCAAAGTCAAGACAAAGGGGTCACAGAGGCCACAGGTCAGTGATGCTGAAGCCCTTGCTAGAATCCCAGGATTCTGGGGTCAGAGGCCGGGGATCCCAAAGCTTATTCTAAAATTTCATAGAACTGCAACATTAGATCCAAGGTCAGAAATGCCAAAGCTGGGACAAGGGCCAGCAGTCAGGGACCTGTAGCACAGAGTCCGGAAGTGGAGGTGAGGGCCTAGTCCCCACCGAGCCCCTGCCACGCCCGCAGGTATATGATGAGCAACGGGTACAAGCCGGCTCCGCTGGACCTGAGCCACGTGCGGCTGACGCCGGCGCAGACGACGCTGGTGGACCGTCTGGCAGAAAATGGGCACAACGTGTGGGCCCGAGACCGAGTGGGCCAAGGCTGGAGCTACAGCGCGGTGCAGGACATCCCCGCGCGCCGAAACCCTCGGCTGGTGCCCTACCGCCTGCTGGATGAGGCCACCAAGCGCAGCAATCGGGACAGCCTCTGCCAGGCCGTGCGAACCCTGCTGGGCTACGGCTACAACATCGAGCCGCCTGACCAGGAGCCCAGTGAGTGCTCACCCGGCCCTGGCCCAGCTCCTACCCCGACTCTGACCTCAGCCCTGACCGCTAATCTCTGACCTGACTCAGCCCCCAAATGGGCTATGTCTTTTTTTTTTTGTGAGACCGAGTCTCACTCTGTCACCCAGGCTAGAGTGCAGTGACGCGATCTTGGCTCACAGCAACCTCTGCTGCCCGGGTTCAAGCGATTCTTCTGCCTCAGCCTCCCGAGTGGCTGGGATTACAGGTGCCTGCCACCGTGCCCCACTAATTTTAGTAGTTTTTAGTAGAGATGGGGTTTCACCATCTTGGCCAGGCTGGTCTTGAACTCCTGACCTCGTGATCCACTCGCTGGGATTACAGGCGTGAGCCACCACACCCGGCCCCAAATGGGCTATATCTATCACATCGAGCAGACTGACCAGGAGGTTAGAGAGAACTGACCCCTCCCCATAACTCTGACCCTTACCCCAGCTCCAACTCAGACTCCGATGAACCACTTCCCTTGACCTGACTCAAGCCCTGCCTCGGCTATGGCTGCAACCCAGAGCCGTCAGCCTAGGAACCCAATGAGTGCCAACCCTGGCCCCTCACCGATTCCTAACCTCTAGCTTTGACTCCTAACCACACATCTCTCAATTGTAGCTACCACATGGAGACAACCAACCTAAGGACTCAGAGAGCCTCTCACCTCTACCCCTAACCTGACCCCTGACCTATCACTAACTCCCAATCCCAGCCTTGACCCCAAACCCTGGCCATGGTCCCCAACCTTCAGTTTCTCAACTCCTGGCCCCAAACCGAATTTCCATCCCCTCGGTAACCCTGGCTCTGACCCTCCAATCCTGGTCTCAACCCTCGATTCTAATCAACCCTAATCTTGACCCTTAACCCCAGACCATAACTCTTAACAGTTCACTGACCTGCCTTTCTCCTTCTGTGTCTCTGTCAGTATCTCTGTTCTCTGAGAACTCTGGCTGCTACAGAGATGGGGGTTTCTCTCACCAGGTCCCTACCTTTCTCTGACTATTCTGAGGTTCCCCAATTCTCCTCTAACTCCAAGAAATTGACCCTCTTCCAACAGTTCCCCAAAGCCCTTTCCATCCCTCGTATCTTCTACCAACTTCGCGATGTCTTGGGACCCACCTCCTCCCCAGCCTCTCTGACTCTACCTGGCCTCATCTGTAGGTCAGGCGGAGAACCAGTCTCGCTGGGACCGGGTGCGTATCTTCCGGGCGGAGAAATCCTATGCAGTGCAGAGCGGCCGCTGGTACTTCGAGTTTGAGGCAGTGACCACAGGCGAGATGCGAGTGGGCTGGGCGAGGCCCGAGCTGAGGCCTGACGTAGAGCTGGGAGCTGACGAGCTGGCCTATGTCTTCAATGGGCACCGCGTGGGTACCTCCTTGGGCACCAGTCTGCCAAGTCCTGTGGTCTCTTCCCACAGCTCATCTACTCTGGTCCTGCCTCTGTCTGTGCCTCACTCTGTCCCTGCTTCCTGCATCTACTGTACCACTCATCCATCCATCTATCCATCCATCCATTCATCCATCCATCCATCTGTCAGACATCCATCTATCCAACCAACAATTCATCCATCCATCATCCATCATCCATTTATACATCTATCCATCATCCATCTATACATCCATCCAGCCAACCAACCATCCATCCATCCAACCAACATAGAGAGACCCCCACTCTACAAAGAATTTTAAGAAAATTAGCCAGGCATGGTAGCATGCACATATAGTTCCATCATCCATCCATCCATCCATCTATCTATTCATCTATCTGTCATCTATCCATCTGACCAGCCAACCATGAATCCATCCATCCATTCAACCATCCATCATCCATCCAATCAACGCTTCATCCATCCATTCTTCCAACCAACCGTCCATCCATCCATCCAACAACCATCTGTCCATCTGACAACCATTTATACAACCATCCTTCCCTCCCTCCCTCCCTGCGTCCATCATCCATGTATCCATCTTTGCACCTGCTTACACTTGCTTCTTTCTCTGCATCCACCCAGGTAGACTCTCAACTTTCCAGTCATTCTTCTGCCCAGCCATATGCCCAACTTCCCATCCACCCATCTGCCTCATTATCCACCCATCCATTTTGTGCACATATATGAGCATGTATGGATCTGCATGAGGGACATTGATAGGTTCATTTTTCCTTTGTGTCCCTCTGCTTGCTGCTGCCTCCAGCCCCCAACTATCACTTTGGTGGTCTACATAATGCCAGCCATGGCAACAGCGGAGAACCCAGGCAGAAGGGATGAGGCACAGAGATTAGTGGGGAGGGAAATTCCTGGGATCATGGATGTATATGTGGTATGCATCCTGAACCTGATGCTTCGAGTACCTGTCTTCACATATCTCTCCCTCCCTGCTTTCTTATCTCTTCATTTCTCTGAGTGTCTCCCCACACCATGTCCTCCCTGCTCCTCCCCACAGGGCCAGCGCTGGCACTTGGGCAGTGAACCATTTGGGCGCCCCTGGCAGCCGGGCGATGTCGTTGGCTGCATGATCGATCTCACAGAGAACACCATTATCTTCACCCTCAATGGCGAGGTCCTCATGTCTGACTCAGGCTCCGAAACAGCCTTCCGAGAGATTGAGATCGGGGACGGTGAGGGCTGAGATCGCTGCACGTGCCCTTTCTGGCTTTCCTCCATCTCTCCTGACCCTGCATGGCGCTTCTGCCTCCAGCTCTCCCATGGCTACCTCCTCCCCTCGGCTCCCCCTGCCCTGCCCACCACCCTCACCCCTGCCCATGCATCCCCTCCCACCAGGCTTCCTGCCTGTCTGCAGCTTGGGACCTGGCCAGGTGGGTCACCTGAACCTGGGCCAGGACGTGAGCTCCCTGCGGTTCTTTGCCATCTGTGGCCTCCAGGAAGGCTTCGAGCCATTTGCCATCAACATGCAGCGCCCTGTCACCACCTGGTTCAGCAAAAGCCTGCCCCAGTTTGAGCCAGTGCCCCTTGAACACCCTCACTATGAGGTAAGGACTGACCCCCACAATGCCTTCTCATCTGCCTTCAAAGCTCCTTCTTTCCACCGTGCTCTTCCTTGAGTTTTTCCTTTCCCTCCATGTTAGCACACAAACCACTTGGAAGCAAGTGTCAGAGTAATGGGCTCTTGGGCTGTGTAACTTGGGGGGTAACTTTGGCAAACCACAGCCTCCTGAGGTCCAGGTGCCTCACCTATAAAGTAGGGGAAAGCCAACCTGGGCAACAAGCAAAACCCCACCTCTAAAAATAAAAAAATTAAGGCCAGGCATGGTGGCTTATGCCTGTAACCCTGGCACTTAGGGAGGCTGAGGTGGGAGGATCTCTTGAGCCCAAGAGTTCAAGACCAGCCTTAGCAACAGAGGGAGACCCTATCTCTACAAAAAATTAAAAAATGAACCAGGCGTGTAGTATGCACATATAGTCCCAGCTACTCCGGAGGCTGAGACGGGAGGGTTGCTTGATTCCAGGAGATCAAGGCTGCAGCGAATTAGGCAGATGTTGTGGCGCATGCCTGTAATTCCAGCTACTTGGGGATGGCTGAGGCATGAGAATCACTTGAACCTGGCAGACAGAGGTTGCAGTGAGCTGAGATTGTGCCATTGCACTCCAGCCTGGGCAAGAAGAGTGAAACTCTCTCAAAA